CCGCTCTTTAGTTTTACAGAGATTTGCACATTTCTGAATTTTTCTTATCAGTCTCTTTCCTTAAATCAATACTAGTTTCTAAAAATCCTGAATAATTATAGGTCTATGACCTGCTGTAGACAGCAACTTCTATTGTAACATAGTAGAAAAAGTCATACTTAAGTGTCTCAAAAGAAAAAAATAGTTTACAGAAAAACTCTCCACAGTATGTGGCTTTAAATGTTCACCATCAGCATTAATTAATAATATTTTTCAAAATTAAAAGAGCAATGTATAATTTTTCTTCAAAACAATGATTTGTCCCATACATTTGAAAAAAGTTATTAGTAGTTCTGTAAATGCTGTTGAAAATCCCTTGTTCAGAAAAATGTGAATATCTATAGCAAACATTTACTTATTAGATTTATGTTTTTAAGTATAAATTCTTACCTAAGTTGTTTAAAAGCGTCTGCCTTCACAAGAGGTGTTTCTACTGAGTGTTCAAAAAGTGCTCCTTCAGGCCCTGAAAACAAAAGAAAAATACTATCTTGTACAAGTTCAAATGTAAAAACAATAGTAACAGTGATTTAAATGGCCACTTTGATATCAGAAATTAAGATATGAAAACATATTAACAATTAATGAGACAATTAAAGTCTACAGTATTGACTGGAACAACACATTACACAGGTAATTTAAATGTATAGGTGTAAATTCTTGAAATGAAATCTAAAAAGTCTGAACACAGAGAAATTTTAAACTACTTGGGACAACAAAACAAGTAAATAAGATTTTTACAATGTAACTTCCATTAACATTAATAATTAAAATCCCACAAAACCTTTGCAAATATTACAGACTTAAACAATCATATATATTTTAGACTATTCTGTATATAGCACAAATTCTGGCATGTAGCTTCATCAAAAATTTCCCCCTATTTTTAGGCAGCCTTGCTGAAAATAAAATGGTATTTTATGCACATAAAATGTTAATTACTATGGATTCAGATAGTTTACCTCTTGAAATAAGAGCAGTTTCATTCCAACAGGGAAGAAACTGTGATTAACTTTGTGGTGGTACCTATGTAGGTGGGGCAAAACAAGTCATCTATATGAGAGGATTATTTGCATCGTGCTGCTGCAGACAAATACATCTTAAAGCCTGGACATCCAGAACTCAGATGAAGGTCATGGCTGCAGATTCTTGAAGTGTTCATAAGATACTTCCTGTAAAGGCCCTACTAGGTAGCCTCATCACCTTAATATGAGTACCCTCCTGAAAATCAGAGTCCAAGGCTTTGTTGTCACAAGTCATTATGCTTTGAATGCTTAGAGGATAAATCCAAATAAGGACTTACATGAATGTTAGGCCTGGGACAGTTAACTTATTTAGGAATTCAGGTTGTCTTATAATAGCACGACGGTCAATTTTCAACCTAGGTCCTAGGTGCTGAGGTTTAAGAGAGCAATTCAGATTGTAAAAAAAAAATAATGATCAGGCAGTTAATGAAATGCCTAAATATTGCATGTTCACATTGCTAGTTTTCCCACAGTAACACCCTCCAGTTCCCTTCCAAACACAGCTGCTGGCAGAAAAGAAGGAGGTAGCTGTATCTAAGTCTTGTAGAATAAAGACTTTTCTGGATGCTCTTTGAATTAAAACAGAATCCAGTTGCCCTCAGAAAAGAATTCTGGGCTGTAGAAAGTCCCAGGTCAGGACTTTGGACTCCATCTAGAGAAACAAACCCCTAAGACCCCTCTTGAGCTGCAGGCTGGTAAATATGCATGCATGCATGTGCAAGCTTATTTAAATATTAATATTATAATAGTTGACATATTAAATGAAAATGTACGTGCAAACAAAGATAAGGTTTTTTTGTGTGTTCTGTCTGGAAGACCTGATGAGACTGGGATGAAAAAGTGAAAGTACATGTAGGAACACGCAGAGGGAAGGAAAGCTAAGTGGAAATAGATAAAGTATGGTCTAGATAGCATTAGATGTGGTAGAGAAGGAAAGGAATAATAAAAATTAGTGGGGGAAACCACACACAGAATATGGTAAAAGGAAAAAAGTTAAATTAATAGATACCATTAAAATGGTATCTATTAAAAATACCATTTTGTACATTACATTTATTACAATTAATACATTAAAATGGTATCTATTAAAATACCATTTTCCACTTAAATTTGAGAAGAAACTTCTTCTCAGTGAGGGTGACAGAGCACTGGAACAGGCTGCCCAGAGAAGTTGTGGAGTCTCCTTCTCTGGAGACATTCAAAACCCGCCTGGACGCCTTCCTGTGTAACCTCATCTAGGCGTTCCTGCTCCGGCAGGGGGATTGGACTGGATGATCTTTTGAGGTCCCTTCCAATCCCTAATGTTCTGTGATTCTGTGATTCTGTGAAAATGAATACATTGCTGAGCCAACTGACAGGAAGACTGTCACATCATGAGGGCTGGAGGAAATTTCTCAGGATGCCCTAAGAAAACATGAAACATGCTGCTTTTTGAGAAAAGCTCCAGCTGAAATCATGATTGCTTAGAATGAAATCTAAGACAAATGCACACAATGTAAGAATTACCATACTGAATCCCTTCAGCACTTCAAGGAAGGATGGACTTCCAAGCTTCTATTGAAACTTTATGTAGCTGTTGATATCCTCATCATGAATTTAAATATATAAATCTTTCTAGAATCTGCTAACTGGCATGAATATAACACTGGAAAATGTAAAATTCATTAATTCAGACAGGACTTTAACCCTTCTTCATTGCAAGATAAAACCTGGCCGGTTAATTATTTTCCAGTTAATTATTCTCCAGTTGAATGTTGTATTTGTGCTGGTGGGTGTTAGATGGTGGCAATCTTACACATTGGAGATGATGGAAAAAACCCAAACCCTAAGGAATTAAATAAGTTTGTCAGAAAATGCCGATTTGGTACAACTAAGATATTTTGCAGGGATACACTGATCTGTCAAAACTTCTGACTTAGTATACTTGCCAGCTAGAGGTGGCAATGAATTCAGGCTTTTCTTTGAGCAGGGACTGCCTCAAATTTGATTCTTCTGACACAGTGGTCCTTTGACAATATAACATGATCCCTCACTGTGAATTTATAGTGATGTACTTGGTGATAAAGATCTGGTGCTCATTCTATACAGATTTAGGGAATTTTACTTTGGACCAACTCTAGTCTCATCCTGTGGGCTTAAAACCTATCTGCACTTTTAGATGACGTAAATGCATTCTTGGAGCCCATTTCTCAGTTTAGTTTCATCCAAAAGGAATCCATTGTTTTCACTCCCTTACTCTTCCATGATATAAACCAGTGGGATACAAGATCTGTTAAAACCATCAGATCTGCAGCAAAAGTGCAGTCCTGACTGAACAAAATGCTATTGTGGATGCACATCTTGGTGTAATGACTGTGGAAGGCTTTTTCAAATTTCCTTTATTTTTTCTCTTCCTTTTTCTTACTCATCCGTGCATCTCCTATACCAACACATGTTCTGTGGTGTGTTCTTCCACTTGAGTATGGTTTGGAACTAATCTTCTTTTCTGTTAGACAGTTGTTTAAATTTTTCAGCAATTTTCAGTACCAACGTAGCTGTACTGTGTCATAGGTTGAAGTACAATGAAGATACAAGTGAATTCTCATTCTTAGATAAGATGCATAGTTTTTTTATAATGCCAGCTGTATGAAACTGCAGTTTGAAATTTCACGTCATGCTACACTGATGCATATCCTTACATGTGACGGCCACGGTGGTAGAACTTGACTTAGTGCCAATTTCTTGATATCTAAATAACAGTGTCACACAGTGACGATCTTGGCACAGATTCTGTATTCAAGATCTGTTTCTATCCAGTTTTAAGGTCTATAGGAAAAGCTGAGCATTTGATAACACTGCTGTTCTGGAAAGAAAGACAATCAATTATCACCTGGCTTCTTCCAGTTGTCTGAAGAAGGCTTCATCTGCTTCTTCCCAATCAGGTGGTCTGCAGAATACAACCACCACAATGTTGCCCATGTTGTTTGCCCTCTAATCCTGACCCATAGTCTCTCAGCTGGCTCCTCACCCGTCCCAGGCCTGAGCACCATGCTCTTCTGCTGCTCTCACACATAAAGGGCAACTCTCCCCTTGCCTTTCCAGCCTGTCCTTCTTGAAGGGCCTCTATTCTAGTGAAGTATTTTAAGTGGCACATCTGTAAAGCACCTTAATTGTTTGCATGTTATAGTGTGTCATTACTGTCATACAGCCCTCAAACTGAAAGCACTGAAATGGTCAGTGCATACTGGAGCAGCTCCATGGAACTTAGTGGCATGAAACTGGTTTACTGTTATTAAAAATTTAGTCTTATGTTTGCATTTTTATAAATTTTCCTGCTATGTCTGTGTGTAAAAATGCTGTATTTTATTTAGTCCACTTGCTGTAAGCCATATAGTTTCAATTATTAGAAAGATTAGGGAAGGAAATAATCACTTGCATTAATATTTTCCAAAAGTAACATTAATGGCTACTCACAGAATCATGGAATGGTATATCTAGTCATGAGAGTAATAATCAGAGTAATAAAAGGTAAGCGGAGCTTAGTAGTTTAACTACATGAACACAGTCTTATTATCTGCTATCGCTGACAAAATAACAAGTAATAACTTCAAAAGTAGTAACTTCAATATGTGTCTCTCAAAGTCAACTGGTGAGTTTTGTGCTCACATTAGACATTACCAGCATGAGCAGACTCTGAAAAGCTCTACTCTGTGTTTTGGCTGATTTTCATGTAACTTCTCTGTCATCTTTAGAAATCTATATTATTACTACAGCACCTTTTACGTAGAAGTTCAAATTTAGTGATACAAAGATGAACAGTGTTTGCTTGTATTTGAGATCTAGCTTGATAAGATTATAAAAGAAATTATATGACCTATTTGTTTGTCTATGTAAGCAATGTGAGCTGATAAATCAGAAGCCCCTTCTAGTCCAACTTTCACATTGTTATCAAGGTTTGGACTTGCTGCATTAAAGATGAGCAGATATGCACAGAGAGATGTCAGAACGAGGAGCCTGGCAAAACTGATTTGAGGAGGGGAGCAAACATCTATAAAAAGAGAGATTTGTGAGGCCTGAGTGCAATGACAGTTGATGAAGCCTTGTTTGAAATACAGCAGATCCTTGTTTTAGGGATCTGCTCCAGTCCCTTGGTCCAGGACAGCAGATCTCTTGGTCTAAGCACCACTGTGGCTCAAAAACAAGGCAGAGAGAGAAGAGAGATCAAACTCCCCGGAGAAGCCCAGTGGTATTGTTAGTTCTCAGCCTGTGCAAACCAAGAGCATTGGAGTCAGCACTCAAACCCATCAATTACAGCATTTTAATTAAAAATCTTTCTGAATGACTTTAATAAAACAGCATTGTCATTGGAGCATTCCCTCCTCAATGGAGGAGACTGAAGCCCATGCTTAGCAGTGAACAGCTCTGAGGATCTCATCTTCTCCTTCTCTTTTTGAAGGTGAAACATGAAAGAGGACGAAATGAGACAGCATGTAACCAGAGGCAGAGCTTCACTTTGCTGGCAGACATCAAAAGTGCTTGCTCCCAGCTGTCCTCTCATGCTGGACACCCATCATTTTGTATGGCATTACAGAGCACTGTCCTGGGAGGTGGGACTGCAGGACTGAAGTCTCTTGGCCCAAATGGGGAATTCAGCCTAGGTCTCTCACATCCTAAAGCAGACACCCTGCTCTGAAAGCAAGGTGGGTGTTACTCTCTTTTCCTAAGTTACAAGCGATAGGACAAGAGGAAACAGCCTCAAACTGCACCAGGGAATGTTTAGATTGGATATTAAGAAATATTTCTTCACTGAAAAGGTTATCAAGCATTGGAAGAGGCTGCCCAGAGAAGTGGTGGAGTCATCATCCCTGGAGGTACTTAAGAGACTGTAGATGTGACACTTGGGGATATGGTTTAGTAGTGGTCTTGGCACTGCTAGGTTAGTGGTTGGACTTTATTATCTTAGAGGTCTTTTCCAAACTAAATGATTCTATGATTCTATACAGACAGGTAAATGATAACAGAGATAGCATCACTTGCATGGAAATAGGGGCTAATGGAAGAAAGCCAACAGGAAACATCACTGTTAATGCTTTAGAGAGAGTGGGGGTGGTGGTCTAAGAGGGAATGAAAAGGCTTATTTGCATATTCTAGAGCTGTCACCTCTAAGCAAGTGTAAAACCTTGCCGTCCTGTGAGAAAAATTTCTTCATCAAACAGCATTAAGTTTGAAAAGTATGACACTAAAAAAAAATAACCTGAGGGCATGTTTTTTTGGAAAATGTCCCCGAACTGATTTCTTGTCTTCATTACCTACTTTTATCTTTTAAACTGTAAAGAAATAAAATTAATTATGATATGAATATTACTAATTTACTATTTTATAGACTATTGTTTATGAATATAACATAATTTAGTCCTAAAATACACAAGATCAAGATATTCATTTTCTTAATGAGAGGACTGAAGTCAGCAAGGTTCACTGACATCCCCCCCTGCACCCTATCAAGTAAGGACTATTTGTCTTTGTTATGGTTTAAGGGTTACCAGCCT